GAAGGAGGGGACAGAGGCCCCAGGAAGGAGGGGACAGCAGCCCCAGGAGGGAGGGGACAGTGGCCCCAGGAGGGAGGGGACAGCGGCCCCAGGAGGGAGGGGACAGCAGCCCCAGGAGGGAGGGGACACCAGGAAGGAGGGGACAGAGGCCCCAGGAAGGAGGGGACAGCGGCCCCAGGAAGGAGGGGACAGCGGCTCCAGGAGGGAGGGGACAGCGGCCACAGAAGGGAAGGGACATGAGTTCTGGGAGGGGACAGCAGTCCCCTGGTGGACATCCCAGTCAGCCGAGACCCCAGCCATCAGTGCTGTCCTCCTGTCCTGATCCTCCCTGCAGTGTTAGCCTAAGGTCAGTGATTATCGCCATTACCGGATCCTCCTCTGGTCCCCAGCTACCTTAACTACACTCATGGTCTTGCAAACCATCAACAGCTGTGGGACTAGGATAAGAGAGAGAGTACTTCCCACACTGTGCAGGAAGACTGGAGCAAGATCCTGGTGAGAGCAAGACCCTGGAGATGGTGGTGGAGAGACTGTGGCAAGGCGTAACCAGAGGAGCCCTGAGATAAAGGTCATGGTTAAAAGATTTTGCTGTTCCTGCCTTTGATGATGGAAGAGAGGCTGCTTGCTGAGACTGAAGCCTGGACTAACTGAGGCACTGTGCCGTGGGAGTGCTGGCTAACACCTGGAATTGCTGGGTGAAAATCTCTGCCTCTCGCACTTTCTAACTTCTTCCCCTAATAAACAGCACTCTCGGTACCACAACCGTGAGTCCACAAGTCAAAAAACTAAACGAGCGTCTTGCTGCTGGGATTCGAGAGGCAGATGAGGCTGGGCTACGGGCTCTTCCACTCTGTCTGGTCAGAGGCTGTGCTACTCTCACTCCCTCTGGCCCTGGGCCCCTGTTCCATTTTCTGCCTTCTAGAAACTCGCTGGCCAATTCTGGGTCCCAGCAGGTCCCAGGTTCCACACAACCCCTGCAAGACGTCCAGCCGAGTCCCCTCTCCCTCTTGGGACAGTCACTCCACCAACGACTTTCACACTTCTGTCCAGGAGGAGTCTCTACAGGAAGACCTCACTGTGAACCATGTCCCCACCACAGCTGGGCCCTGGGGGCCACACTGTTGACTGGGGCCCCGACAGCAGAGCCTGCCAAGCTTCCAGAAGGGCCACATAGATAGGTGTCCTGGCTCTACCCCAGGGTCACCCATACATCTACCGGAGCTGCGGTCATGGTAAGAAGTTCCCACAGCCCTGTTCCTGCTGGCTATGCCGTGCACAGCTGGCCCCACAGACAGCCCAGCTGTAGTCACAGCACGTGCGAACACACACAGCTGTCCCCGCAGACAGCCCCAGCTGTAGTCACAGCACGTGCCAACACGCACAGCTGTCCCCACAGACAGCCCAGCTGTAGTCACCGCACATGCCAACACGCAGATGACCCGACGGCTGTGAGGCGAGCACTGATGCCGTGTCTAGAAGGGCTGGGCCACTGTAAACCCAGGGCATGCCGAGCCTGTGAGGGGGCCAGAGCCTCCACTCACACAATCCCATGCGCACACACCACGTGCAGGCCCAGAGCCGCACAAGCACGTCCTCATCTGTACCCTCCACTCACACCACACACCTCACACTCCACGTGCAGCCTCAGAACTAGAACTTGTACCTCCAGCCGCGTCCCGGGTCCAAACATGTCCCATATCTTTCTCCTCCGAACGTCGATCCCTCTGCCTGGGTGCTGAAAGAGATCAAAGGTCAAGTGTAGTGAAGCTAAGCGCAGCAACAGCTAGACAGTCACCGGGTCAGTCCCTGGCACTGACAGCTGAGCCAAGCTCTCGGCTTCGCGATGACAGAGGTGACAATACCTGATGTACAGGGTGCCCTGGGAGGGGGAGGCCAGCCAAGGCGGGGCACAGGAGGCTGCTGTCGCGCCCCACAACCCACTAACACAGGCTGACGGGCACAAGATTGCACTGCACAGCCCACCCCCAACCGGCCTCCAACAGGACAGCGGCGTCACAGGGCAGAGCCCACCTGACCCTGTGTCCCCATCAGTGCCACCCGCGAGAGGAACAAAGTCAACAGCAGGAGACAGAGGCTGCTGGCCGTCACTTCACAGCCACAGGGGCACATGCCGGACAGCGCTCCGACTGGCAAGATGCAGGCAGGAGGAGGACCTCGGTCCCTGACCAGGAGAGCTCACAGCCCGACTACTGCTACATGACGGGCCTGGTCACTGTTCTCACGGTCAGAGGGACCAGGACTCCTAGCCGCTCCCCGGGACAGGTCTCACAGACTGACGGGGTGCAGCCAGCCCTCGTGGTCAGCAGGATCCGGCCCGCTGGCCACTCCCCGGGACAGCTCTTACAGACCGACGGGGTGCAGTCAGCCCTCGTGGTCAGCAGGATGGGGACTCCTGGCTGCTCCCAGGACAGGTCTGACCAGTGCAGGATGAGACTAACCGCTGTCCTCAGGGTCAGCAGTATGCAGACCCCACCGCTCAGGAACTCGCCCACGTACCCCGGCGCTGCACAGGATGTGTGTCAGCAGTCCATTTCCGCAGCCCAGGTCCACGAAGGACTGCTTCTCCGTCAGGCCCCGCTCCGCTCGCTCTTCTTCCCACAGGATCTGAGCAAACACGAGAAAGAGCACACGGGAAAGTGGACGAGGTGAAGGCCAGTCACGCCCACTCACCCAGGAGTTCAGACAGCGCCTCCGATCTGAGATACACACTCGTCCGGGAGTTCAGACAGTGCTCCCAGCTGGGATACAAGCCCCATGGTCACAGCCAGACAGCAGTCAAGGCCATGGCCTGCAAAGCCGGCTGGACGTGCTCACCCCCGAGGAGGGCAGCAGTGATGGCCCCGGGCGCTGCCCACCCTGAGTGTGACCCCAAGTTAGAAGGGTCCCCTCAGAGCATTAAGGAGGTGTCTGTGAACTCCCAACACCTCTGAGTGACAGTGCAGGCAGAGAACACTGCATGAACACATCACGGACTGTCAGAAGAACAAGGAACCGGTCTCCCTAAAGGAGTTGGAGCGCTCCCTGGGGACAAGGATGGGGAGGTGGTGGCATCTCACACGCTCTGGCCGTGTTGTCATGAGCGGCAGTCCCTGTGGACACTACACTCGGAGAACTGAAAAGACAGCAAAGGAGAAGAGCTTTGACGGGATGGACTGGGCAGCCTGTACAACACGGGTGCAGGGCCGGAGGAGGGTGAGACGGGGAGGACCGGGCAGGGTCCAGGGCTGCTCCACGTGGGCTCAGGGCCAGCAGAGACAGTGAGGTGGGGAGGACCAGGCAGGGTCCAGGCTACTCCACAGGGTGACGGGAGTTGGCTGACTCCACAGCGCCTCCAGCAAAGGGCTTTTCATGGAGAAGGAAATGAAAAGCATTAAGCAGGGACAGCGTTCACTGCCTTCACGCACACCTACAGTTTGCTCTACTCGCACACAGAACACTGGCCACGAGGACATGGGTGCCGGCCCGTCAGTGCAGGTCACCCGCCTCCAGCACGTGGCCTCTGCAGCCCCCCCCAAGCTGCTCCTGCCGGCCACGGGGCCCACGAGCCTCACCAGGAGGTACGACGCGATGGCCACATCTTCATACACAAACTTCTCCGGGTCGGTCACCTCAGGCCACACCTGGAACGGGACAGGGCACACGTGAGCTCCAGAGGCACTCCCCACTGCAGCGGCCAGTGTCCCCCTCAGGGCCAAAGCCAGACACCAAGTCAGGATGCGGGTGATGTAAGCGCGTAGGGCCTGCCCGAGAGGCACAGCGCAGAGGACGCTGCGGTCGGTGAAAGTCACCCGCGTGATCCTGGAACAGCAGCTACAACAAGAAACGTGCGCGTGGTCAGCTGTGTGTGCGCATACACGTCCACGTGACAGGCAGGTCCCACTGTGCACACATGTGGACAAACACACGCGTGTAAAGCAGCAAGTCACAGACTCTTCCGAGACAGACAGACGCCTGGAGGGACGGGTTTCCAGAGCCTGAAAGATGAGGGCGTCTCTGGTGGGCGCCTTGGCCAGCCAGCGTCACGCGATTCACCACGCCTATGTTCTACTTTCCACTTCTCTGAGTAAGTCAGGGTTCATTAAAGCTTAAGGAAGACCTATCAGATTCTTGTCCAGAGCATGAGAGCAAAGGAAGCCAACACAGGGCCCACGGCACCATGGCCTGGAGACTCCCAAGACCACTGCTCTGAGACACAGGAACCCAGAGCCCAGACCACCCCCAAGCCCCCACCTTCCAGCTCCCTCACTGAGCTATAACTCAGGGGGCAGTCACAGCCCTGATAGAGAAGACAGCACAGGGCAGTGGACGGGCTTCCTGGCCCACGAGTGAGGCCACCACCAGCCACATGACTCCTGACACAGGCAAAGGGCTAGCAGGGCTGAAAGGCTGGGCAGCGGGGACCAGGGCCAAGGGGGGCCAGTTGGCACCAGCTATGAAGCAGCTGGCCTGAGTCACGTGTGTCATTTCCAGTTACTCTGGCCCCAGGCCAGGTCCCTCACCCTCCCCGTGGTTGTGAGGCTGCTCGGAGAGCCCTGTGTGGCCACCACAGTGAACAACAGAGCCCAGCAGGCAAGGGGACATGGCGGGCACAGGAATGCTGGGGTCAGAGCTTGTGAAAGGCTGGAGGGGCACATCTGCGCTCCACCCCACAGGACCCTCCTCGGGGCTACAGCTCTCCTTGGGGTCAGAGGAGGGAGGACACCACGCTACAGGACCAGAGCCACACACCTTCATCCACCTGTCTGCTACCCACAGGTCAACCAGCACTCAGAGGCCAAGATGAGAGGGTGCGGGGAATGGGATCCCAGAAATGCAGCCACCAGAACAGAGACGACTCGGACACGCTGTGAGTGCTGGACGGGACAGCAGGAAGGTGACCCGCAGGGAAGTGACTGGCGGGTAGGCAACCAGCTGAGAGGTGACCAGCTGGGAGGTGACAGCAGGGAAGTGACTGGCAGGAGGTGACTGTGGGGAGGTGAGTGGCGGGGAGGTGACAGGCGGGGAGGTAACTGGTGGGAGTGACTGTGGGGAGGTAACTGGTGGGAGGTGACTGTGGGGAGGTGACCAGCGGGGAGGTGACTGTGGGGAGGTGACTGGCTGGGAGGTGACCGGCGGGGAGGTGACTGTGGGGAGGTGACTGGAGGGGAGTTGACGGGTGGGGAGGTGACAGCAGGGAGGTAACTGGCAGGAGGTGACTGTGGGGAGGTGAGTGGCGGGGAGGTGACCGGCAGGGAGGTGACTGGAGGGGAGGTGACTGTGGGGAGGTGACTGTGGGGAGGTGACCGGCAGGGAGGTGACTGAGGAGATGTGACTGCTGGGCGGTGACCAGCGGGGAGGTGACAGCAGGGCGGTGACTGGCAGGGGTGCCATCTTCACAGGAGGAAGCTGCCCATCTAGGCCCCAGAGCAGCTGGTGCATTTGAAGTGCCGGCTTCCTGATGAGCAGGCCAGCGTATAGAGCACTGCATTATCATCAGTTCCTCCAAGCACACCTGAGTTACCTTGACCATGGCCTTATACTTCTCCTTGAGCTCCTGGTAAACTCTGCTGTACTTGGCAATGGGGATGAGGGACAGGGTGCTCTTGAACTCTCCCCTCTTGTCCTCCACAGACCACCTGGCCAGCTTGGCCAGTAGCTGCTTCCCAAGCCACATGGGTGTGGGGTACACAGCCCCATCGGAGTACCATCTCTCTGGACAGAAAATCAAAACAGATATGAACCTTTAAAAACAAGAAAAACACGAATAAGCAGGACACATCTAAAGTCTCTCATGTAACTTACACATTCATCTCTGAAATGAACCAGAGTCTTTAAGGGCCCAAACCATCCACCACAAACCACAAAAAAGCACAGAGGCGTGGCCTGCCCGTCCTTACCACTCCTGCTGGCCGTGGCTGAGCTGGAGCTGATAAATGTTGCTAAGCTTGATCTTTAAACTCCCGTCAGCGTCCTCTTCCAAAGGTAAGAAAGTTACAGTTCCAGTGTGGACATCTGGAGAAGAGTGGACAAATCGGGACGGGTCAGGTCAGCACCTCACCATGCTCACCAGCGGCCTCCCCAGTGCCCCATGTCCCACAGGACAGGAACCCTCCGGGCTTCTGCTCACTCCCACAGGCGACTCCTTGGAAAGGGACATCATGCTTGAACAGGTGGAGGGTCAGTGAATGAGAGGAAGCCATCCAGCGAGATGCACAGACAGTGACTGCCAACAAGAGTGTCAGAGATGATGATGGCGGCGCAGGACAGAACCGGGTGCAGAGCTGCTGTTCACTTGCTCTGACAGTACCTACCGACAGGATCCATCAGGCACTGACAAGGCCCTGCGAGGTAGACACTGAAGCCAGGACCTGCATGGTGCCAGGTCTTGTGGGGAGCAGTGGGGCCATGGAGCTTCTTGGAGCCCGAGAGCCACAGCCTGAGACCAGGATGAGCCCAGCCCCAGGCCCGATCCTGTACTTTCCAGTCTTGGAAGCAAGAGTGGCATCCACTTCCAAAAAAACCCCTTGCCTCGGGAAACTCTATGAACTCAGAGAAAAGATGAAAGTTTCAAGACTTCCGTTGATAAGGTGGACTGTGAGTTGTGTCTAGGCTGACATCGTTGCTTTTCAGCACTCGGGAGAGCAGACTTTCCGAGTGCAATTCATCTTCTGACTTCCTGACTGCTGGTGCCAAGAGTGTTAACTGTAGAGCTGAGCAACTGAAATAGTTAACGTCAGGTTCTTCTGCACCCGTCATGGTGCTGCCCGTCAGCCCAGTGGTCAGAATCTTTGTCTTCTCGATGCTTCAATCCATACTGAAGGCTACAGTTCCTGACCTTCTGCAGCAAGCACTTCACGTCCTCAGTTTCAGCAAGCCATGTGGTGTCATCTGCATCTTCAAACTTTCTTTACAGGGTATTTAAGAAAGGAGCTGGTTTCCTACCGTGGAGGTGTTAGTTTATCATCCCTCTGTTGGTGGTGGCTATAAGATGAGGGGCTCACTGAGATGTTGAACACAGCGCGACCACTGCTAAGGTGCACCTGGTCCAGGCTATGGTCGTCACAATTGTTGTTGTTGTTATGTGCCATCGAGTCGTTTCCGACTCATAGAGACCCTATGCACAACAGCCCTAAACCCTGCTCTATCCTGCACCAACCGCACCGCCTCTGACACACCCATCCCGATTACCCCAGTCACCGAATCAATCCATCTCATAGAGGGCCTTCCCCTCCTGCGCTGTCCTTCCAC